AAGCTTAGGAACATTTTCATTACAATTTTCAACGTCAAACATCGACAACATGATTTTATATTGAATATTGAAAAGGGTGAATAGTTTTCGAAGCACTTCATCTACCTATCACCTATGGGGCCCAAAGTAGACCAGTAGTTAAAGTGCTAATTTCATCAAAACGCGTACGCGGTTCTCAACTTCACCTTGATGTCACTACCTTATTACCTAAGTACTTAGCAACTTTTGGATGCGCATTGCTTTTCACTCCCAATTACTTTTTCACTGTCTGCAAAAGGGCACTTTTTTATATTCTATATCTGTTCTCAAGTCAAGCTTCTTACGAAAATTACAAATGTTTTTCTCCCCTTGACCAATTAATTGATTGAGAATCGCTATCGTTGAAAGCGAATGTGCGAGGTTCGCGTTTGATCATCTCGACTTGGCCGCATACGAATGGCGGTCTTGATCGCAAAAACCATGAATCCTCTCATAGAAGAGGGGCACGAAAAGACTGTGCATCCCTTCTTCCAAAAGCCGTTAAGAACGTCATCGACTGCGGGAAACAATGTAACACTGCAAAATGGAGCTCTAGACTCATCATATATGCCAAATGGAGAACAAGCAGATTTGTTGGAGGTTGACCCGAACAATGGTAGGAGGAAACGCCGAAAGACTGCCTCGCCAGAAGTTACAACAGAGTTAGAGGCAGGAAAGACATCCACAATCACAAAGACAACTGCGCCGACAAAAACAGTGAAACCTTTACGAGCCTCGAAGCGTAAGCAAACTACCCTGACACCTGCAAAATCAAAAATTGTTGTCATGCGCTATGGCAGTGGACAAAGTCCAGCTTCTGAAGTTGGCAGCAAGATTGAGAATATTCTCGACGGCATCGAAACATTAATACCGAAGACGGAGTCAAATAATACGGACGTGAAAAATACAAAAGAGATAGTATCGAGAAAGGGGAATGGGGTAGATGCTATTCCATGGTGGAAGACAGCAAAAAAGAAATCGCCGACACAAGAAGAACCCCAGGAATCCTCAAAATCACAGCAATCGGGCCAAGGAAAAAAATCTCCTATAGGAAAGAGAACTACTTCGGGTAGACCAGCTTCACCATCGACAATTGTATCCAATTTTGGCCGACCACATTCAAGGGACGGAAAGCAAGTCCCGCCAACGTTTAAAGGCTTCGAGAAAGCTCCTAAAACTTCCAAGTTCCCCGACGCCATTGAGCCAGCTTGGCCATGGTCTGGAATGGTGCATGTACGCGGAGAAAGAGACGAGGAATATTCAAATGGCACCTCTACCAGCACAGTCCCTGGAGAATCCAGCGACGTGAAGAAAGGGTCAAAATATCGAGCAGTTGAAATCGTTGAAGATGAAAATATTATCAATACTTTTACGGCGAAATTACGAATTGATGAGACAATTAATAGCATCCATGACCTTCATATTCATGATTTCGCTCCAGTTTCTCCTTGCCTCCGAGTACCATCCAAACACATCGAAACAGGCCCAAGTCTCCAGTGTCGAGTACGAAAAGAACTTATCTCAAAGCCTAACAGACCAGTTTTACATGAGGATTTGAGCGATGACGAACTCCAAGAGCCAGATAAAAGACGTTCAAATGCCCACCCTGCTCTTACAAATGTTTACAACTCAATTGCCACTTCGCTATCGGCATTTGACAAGGCTGAATGCGAAAATATATCTTGGACACAGAAGTATGCACCAAAAAGTGCAGAGGAGATCTTACAGACTGGACGAGAGGCCTTCATATTGAAAGATTGGTTGCAAAAATTGACGGTAATGTCAGTAGAATCAGGTTCTGCTGAAAATAAGGCTACGAAGAAATCTGCATCGTCAAAAGCCGAACCAGTTGGAAAAAGGAAGCGAAAATCAAAAAAGCTGGATAATTTTATAGTATCTGATGGCGAAGAAGACAACGAGATGGATGAAATAACGGAGCCGGAAGATGGGGATTTGTTAGGAGATTCAGGTTTGGTCAAGAAAACAGTGATACGTTCTGGTGATTTGAATGCGAAAGGCCCTAAAGATTCCAAGCGCCTGGCCAATGCAGTTGTTTTGAGTGGACCACACGGATGTGGCAAGTCTGCCACGGTCTTTGCTGTTGCAAAAGAACTTGGTTTCGAAGTCTTCGAAATCAATCCAAATTCCAAGAGGAGCGGTAAAGAGGTGATGGATAAAGTTGGAGATATGACCCGAAATCATCTAGTTCAGAGATCCAAAGTTGATAAGATCTCGAGTGCGAATGAGGATGAAGAAAATTCATTTGATTCTGTGGCTGAAGAAGTGAAGAGCGGCCGTCAGGGTACCATGAACTCATTCTTCACTTCAAAAGCATCCGTCAAGCCAGAACCTAAAAGCAAGGGCATCTTGAACTCATTTTTTACATCCAAAGCACCAACGAAGCCGAAAGGTCAGAATGACAATGAAGAATATCCATCTAATGATATGGCTGAAGATCCAGAAAATGGCCGCCCGAGCATGGTGAAGCCATTCTTCACATCCAAAGAACCGACAAAGATGAAATCTGAGAGTACGGATGCTGAGCAAACTGCACCCAAAACGGACGTCACCAAGGATATAATCGCTCCGAAAGGGCCACCAAAGAAACAGCAACAATCCTTGATACTACTCGAAGAAGTCGATGTTTTATTTGAGGAGGATAGAGGATTTTGGCAAACAGTTTTGCTTCTGATCGCCCAGAGCAAGCGACCAATTATTATGACTTGTAATGATGAGTCTGCGGTACCAATTCTTGCTCTATCTCTACATGCAATTATACGCTTTACTACGGTGCCTACCGATCTCGCCGTTGATTACATGCTACTCGTAGCAGCCAACGAAGGTCATGCTATCCGTCGTGACGCGGTCAAGGCTTTATATGAAAGTCGAGCGTCAGACCTACGTGGTTCATTGACAGAGTTGGAGTTCTGGTGTCAATTTGCAGTTGGAGATCGTAAAGCTGGAATGGAGTGGTTTTATCCTCGTTTACCGTTGGGTTGCGATCTAGATGAGCATGGTAAGAAGTATCGCGTTGTTAGCGAAGATACTTATCACACTGGCATGGGCTGGATTTCTCAAGACACTCTCGAGAGCCAACGACCATACATCGATATCGAGGAAGAGACCTTGTATGAAGCTTGGAATGGTTGGGGTATTGATGTAGGCGACTGGCAACAAAATATAGGCATCAGTACTTGGGCGGACAAGATCACGGATTGCGCCAATGAGTGTGCCACCAGACGAGCTGCTCTGGCAATGTACGATGACTTTGCCGAAGCTATGAGTGCTACAGATTGTTTCTCGCATAACAGCTTCGGCGCAGACTATAAAGTGAGTTTCCCTCTATCAACATTACATCTACTCGTTGCTAATGAAATAAGGTTACCATTGATGCAAGTTACCCAAAAATGTCTAGTAAAGCGAGAGAAGATTACACTATGGCAAATCAATTACTGGACGTGTCGCCGCAAATTACTCTGGACGAGACAAGTATCAACATATCATTCTGGATGAAATCTCGAGCCAGAGAAGTTCTTCAAATTCGTCAACATGTTGAACATGGATGGGAAATCCATCGAGAGCTGGATGGACCGACCGAGAAACAAGTTCAAGGCCTCATTCAGTCCCAATCACGTCCTCAAGGGAATGCTATTACTCGCCGCGATTTGAGCTTGGCTTTTGATCCTATTTCAGAGTCCGAAAAGACATATGTTTGGAGTACTGGAAATCTTGAAGCGTGCTGCTTTGATCGAACTATGAATCTCATTATACTCGACGTTGCTCCATACGTTAGGTCCATAGTATCCTACGATGCACGTCTTCAGAAAGATCGAGTACGTCTGAGCAATCTACTCAGTCAAAATGGAGGTAATATCGCACCGAAACCCAAGAGAATGAGAACAACTCGAGCAGCTATGTCGGCCCTTGAGGGCGGTACAAGAAGTACGACCAGGAAGGAAAAGTATTTCAGTCAGGATATCAACCCATATTTTGTTCTCAGGACTGGATCGCAGAGTTGGTTGGATGCAGCTATCTCTATTACAGCAGCCACGGACGATGGGAGTAGGAGATCGAGTATACAGATGTCGGAGAGTAATATAGTTGCTGACAGTGGAAAAGATGAACTTTTAGATTAGATCGGGCATGGGAATTCTCACATATGGTGGATCATCTTCACATAGCAACATATGGCATGGCATGGCAAGGATACATGTAAACATTTGCATAAATGAGGCGTGTTGGAGACATTGCCCGGCGGAACAAAAAGGGAATTCGCCATATATGGTAGTATGCTGGGCTAGAGGTATAAACACGCGTAAAATTCAGAATGATATATGAACATAAACAAATGAAAAATATCCTTGCAAAAGTTTTTGTAGCGATTGAATTAAGGCTTTTGAGATCATCGATGGGAGAGCAAACTTTTGGATCACTGTATAATAGGTACTGTTATATTGCTACGGGTGGTAACATTGAGGTTTTAGTAAAAGGGCTTGTAAGAATGAGGAATCTAGTTGGAGTCTTCGAGCGCAGCGAGCTAAGGGGGTTTGGGGGCTTGCCCCCATAATGATACCATTCATAAGTCGAAATCTTGATATTCGACTTCGTTGGCTCTCTCGAATAGCATTTCTATAAAGATGAACTGCCTGGATAGCGAACATTATAGAGTGCTATTACTATTGCTTGAATGTCGCTTGGACAGGGGTTGTCATCTAGTACTTGGTGTTTATATCCATATCTTCAAAGGTTTCCATCGTTTTATAGATGCTTGACTACAAGCAACTCGACAATTAATTTAGATTAGATGGTGATTGTGATTGGTTTATGACCCGTAATCTACGTTTCAATACATACTAGATTTCTCACATTTCCTTCCTTTTCCATTCTGAACATGTTTCCTCCATTTCCTCCAATTTTCTATCTGTTCTGATATAATCACGTGATGGTTACGTCAAGACTAGCGCGATTGTTCCACTCGGCACACACAAGCCCTAAATTGAAAAATCAATCCACCTCTATTGAATTGATCTTGAGAGAAACATCCATTTTCTTCACGACAACATCAAACCGACAAAATGGCACCAGCAAACACCGGCGCAAAGAAGCAAAAGAAGAAGTGGTCCAAGGGAAAGGGTGCGCATTAAATTTTTTACCATGCCCTGGAATTTTCGAATAGAAACTGATGAAAAATCAATATAGTCAAGGACAAGGCTCAACACGCCGTCATCCTCGATAAGTCCACTTCCGACAGACTCGCCAAAGATGTTCAATCCTACCGTCTCGTCACCGTCGCTGTTTTGGTCGATAGATTAAAGATCAACGGATCTTTGGCCAGAAGATGTTTGAAGGAATTGGAGGAGAAGGGACAAATCAAGATTGTTGTCAAGCATCACGCCGGTGATATCTACAGTATGTCTATTACGTTCCGATATTATCCTTTTTCGATGCAGCGCAAAAACATTCGAGTCGAATCATTTCCACCCAATGGAATGATGATCTTCAGGATAAGCGTGTCAAAAGGACGATCCAGAAAATACAAATGCTAACATTGTTTCTTTCAACAGCCCGTGCTATCCAAGCCGACGAGTAAAGAAATCAATAATCGGAAAACTTCAAAACGATCAAGGCAATACACGATGGTCATGACCTCGTCTTCGAAATAATCGACCAAAATTACGATTATGGATTGTACGTGGACGTTTTGGCATGAGATATCCGGATGGGTTTTTATATTATGACTTTTCCTCGGGCTTGTTAGGAAAGGCAGGCAGGTGTAGCATATCGAATTCAGCCTTTTGCTTATTGATGCCAAATCTGATGGGTATTCATATATGTTTTGCAGATGTGATATCGTGGTAGAGATGTGACTATGAAAATGCAGGCTAATCTGAAGGAATAGAACATGACACAGCAGATCCAGTCCAAAGGCGAGTGCGAGTACGAGAGCGGTGGAAAGAGTTCCCGGACCAAGTTTAACCACATCTCAGCCTTTGAGATCACCACAATTACCAATTCTTGGTCCAATTCCCTAGAAAACCTTAATTGCAGACCAATTCTCCCCCGCTCAAAACTCCCTCTTCCCGTTCCCGTCTATCCCAAGGCTAAATGTAATTCAATTCCAAATCCATATCCATATCCATAAAAATACCAATGACGACGACTCCATTTGCTATGCAAGTCCGAGGCTAAATCTCCAAGCTGTGAGCTATTATTACACAAAGACCCGTAACTTCCCCATATCAATTTATCTCCAACGAACCTGCCACTTGTCAATCTCGTCCCTCCATTCAAGCCCTTGATCCTTTTTCCTTTCTTCAAATTATAACACAATTCAATACTTCATCACAATACATACACGTATTAGCACCCATCCACGATGGCCGACACAGATGCACTCCGTGAACGTCGCAAACGAAACTCCATTGATATTCTCGAAGATGAGGCTCCTCTCACCAAGACCACGACCCGGGGTTCTTCTCCGTCGGCAGAAAAGAAGGCAAAGAAATCACTTAATAAATTGGCAGCAGATGACGATGCAGCACCTTTCTCGTTGGTAGACTTACTGAGATCGATTGTTTTTGTACTGGTTGCAAGCTGTGGGTTGAGTTATGTGGTTACGAGGAATAGCTATTTTTGGGGAATGAAGAGACCGAATTGGACGCATGGGGAGGTTTTGAAGGGATACTGGGTTAGTGGATTTCTTTGGTTCCTTTTTTGTTTTGAATTGCTAGCTAGGAAGTTTGGTGTGAGAGGAGACGAGGAGAGGAGAGGATAAGACAGCTTGAGAATTACGGATACTCTTCTATAATGGGGAATATAAATAACTAAGATCTTTCACTCTCTTCCAGAACGGACCTCCCCAAATAACCGACGCAGATCTCCCGCGCTTCGACGGCTCGAACCCAGATCTTCCAATCTACCTCGCGCTCAATGGCACGATCTATGATGTTACGGCGGGACGCAGACATTATGGTCCGGGAGGCAGTTATCATTTCTTTGCGGGTGTGGATGCTACGAGGGCGTTTGTGACGAATTGTTTTGAGGAGGATAGGACGCCGGATCTGAGGGGTGTGGAGGATATGTTTTTGCCGGTGGATGACGAGGAGACGGATGCGGAAATTTTGAAGAGGGTTGGGAAGGGGGGCATGAAGAAGTTGAAGGAGAGGGAAAAGAGGGAGGCGGCTAAGGCGGTGAGGGATGCATTGGGGCATTGGATTGGTGAGTTGAGCTTAGGGGAAGGGGGTGCGGTCTGAGAGGACACTTTGGCTAACTTGTGTTTTAATTATAGGTTTCTTTGAAAATAGTGGAAAGTATCCAAAGATAGGAAAGGTTAAGAGGGAGAAGGGATGGGAAACTAAGGGGGAGAAACCAAAGTTGTGTGAGAAGGCGCAGAAGGGAAGGAAGAAGAGGACAATTCCTGAGGGGGGAATCTAAGTCTGAGTGAGACCTGTGTGGGTTTGCCCCGGGGTTCTGATAAGAGAGGAAGAGTAGAATGTGGAATGTATTATGAGGTGTGCAGAATACAGAATGTGGTTAGGATGAGGTTTTATTTATTTATATTCGGCTTGTGAGAAGCATTCTGAAGATTTTCACAACAGTTAGGAGTTTGTATGTTACGCAGCAAATGCCAATATGACTTCAATATCGCGTTCGGTAAACGCAATATTATGTCTAATGTCGAAAAAAAATTGATCCGAACGAGCCCTAAGTGGGGGGGGAGTATTAGGTAGTAAGCTCACATCAAAGGATTTTCGACAGATTGAAGCCAAGGAGGCTTTTATATCCTAAAGGGTTTTTAGCAAGCGAGTAACCTTGCCTCGATGCTTTTCCATCACTCTTTGCTATAGCATCATTTCAATATATAGAATTGGATATTATCTTTTGTATTGCCATAGTCACTTGTAAGCTTACAATTACTTTTGGATAAGCATTCGGAATTTTGAGATGGTTGTAAGTGCAATGTCTCGATTGTATCTATCTAGATTCGAGTCCATGTGAGAGAGTCAATAGAATTTGACGTGCATTCCATTATAGACTTCTTCATTAAGTTATAGAAGATAAAGCAAACTCTATATCCTAGAATCATGAAATTTATATGTGCATTCAGAGAGTTGCATCGCTCGTTCCGGATACGTAACATCATACTATTCACTGCTCTTGAGATAGCTAATGACCCAAGCGATCGCCCTCGGCAGGGCCATCCCTCTTTTTACCAGAAACATTACCTGCTCCCGGCGGGGCAAAGATATTGTCTCTCGGGGTAGCAAAACCATGACCGCACTGATTAGACCAGCAAACCTCCTACATGATGGTCAGTTTATTCTCATTCTCCAGATTATATGTTCCGGGTCTTACATTCGCGAACCTGGTGAACCAAGCATAATTGTCAGCATTTGCAATCACCAACGGTGAAGTTTCTATAGTCGAACGCAGCTATCTTATATCCCAAGGGCCGTACTGGTAATCACCCACTACGTTTCCCTTTTGTTTGAAAGGCATGATTGCCGCTTGGCTGACTTTGTTGACATGGCTTAAAGTAATCAGCTTTCGCTTCATGTTATCAGGGAAAGAAGCATGTTTTAGGTTAATTCGTGGAGAAGTATATAGCCACCGATACTAATCATTTTGTATGATACAAATAGATCTATTGTGCTGCAATTTATATCGTCGAGCTTTGGGTATGTATAGGCATTCAGGGCAGTGGTATTGCAGAAGTGGATTTGTGTTTATAGCTCATCGATCGGATTGTTGGTGTATATAAGAGGTCTCTTGTTTGAGTTCAATCGGCTACATTGTTTTATCATGGTTGGAAGATAGTCTTCGGGATGAATATTGATAGTAGATAATATATCAGCGTTTGTTGAGGGGTCATTGGTGGCTGGTGCAACCATATTTTGGGATACTGCTCTGACGGCGTCTTGATGTTCAGGCAGAAAGTACGCCGAAGAATTACGCAAACGTGTCATTTGGACTCCGAGAGGAATTCGTGACTCGTTTTCCCCAAGCGTTAACGATATCGAGATTTCCAAATGAAATCATCCAAATAGAGTCGAAGAGCATATGAATGTGTGTAATGCTGCTCAGTTCGCTGGTGTTCAATACTTTGGGCAATATTGGCGAACGGCTCTATTGATAAGAATTGGGAGTTTATTACTGGGCCTGGGGGAGACTTCATTTTTGAATTTTTACAAGTTCTTACGGATGCTCTTATCGCCATTGAACTAGAATTTGCACTAGGGGAGATTGAGCTGGGAGAGGAGCTTTATGCTTTTTGTGAAGCAGCAATAACTCATATGTGATCGATGGATATATTGGTCATCTGTTTGATACAAGGATTTGATAGTTCTGAGTCGTTATTGTATGCTTATCATAAAACTATCGACGAACATGTATCATAACTTTTGAAAGTGATCCAAATTCTATTTGCTAGCCTTGAAAATTCGTGGCAATGAAGCTGCAATTAAACTTTTCGTCATATAGATGAGTGTTAAGACCGATAACAGGAATAGAGTGAATCTCTTAAATATCATCACCAATCAAAATTAACATAAATAAGAAACAAAGATATTATTGAGTTTTGGTGAAGATGTCCACGGGTACCTTCCCGATCGCCTAATTGATTAAACGACGGTGGTCCTTTATGGTTCTTCAGCCACACTAGCAGTCAATAAGACGAGAGCCTACCTAATCGAAGAGACCAATCGCTGTCTTATGTCTGTGTCATTGTTTGATTGCGCCACTTGACGTATTTATAGAAGGCTGGCTTATATATATTTGTCTAACACCGCGCATTTAAAGCATACTTTATCCACTGACTCAGCTGTTCTTTTGATTGTTTGTTTCGGTTTCCACTCAATCAACTTCGTTACATTTTTCATCGAGAAAAAAATGAACAATCATCCTCCATCGATTCAACGGCCAGCGATGGCTTGGCGCGATAATCTTCGTACAGAGCCCAAACTCATAGTCACAGCATCAGTCTCGCCGCCTTCATTTTCACTCACAAAATCCCGTGAACTTCCCGTCATCATCGATCTTACACTTATTCTCATAGATTCCACAAAACCCATTACAGTCAATATCAACGATAGTTTCCTAGCACCCGACAAAGCAAATTCTGTCAACAGTCCCTACAGTCTTACTCATAAAGATACAGGCAAACAAGTATTCGAAATCTACACGAACATCGGTTTAGCTACCACCAAAATTACTATCAATCCCGATACCGACTTGTTAACTATATATCCCGGGAAACTTTTCACCACCCAGGTATGCATCGGGCTCGATGTATTCTTCACTGGAGAGACTGGTGCTGGTACCCGCGCGGATCCATGTCTTTGTGCGACACCATCATCTTGCTTGAAGGTGGGAGAAACTTATGAAGTGGGATTATCTTCCGAAACTAGTGGTAGGCCAGAGTTTATGTGGTGGGCTCCAGGAGATTGCGAGAGTACTGTGAAAGAGCGGGTATCGTGGTGGAATAGGTTGTTGGGAAACAATTCATTTGTGGATGAAATAATGTTTATTTTAGATCCGATGGTGAAAGTGGAGTGGGCGAAACGAGCTGAGATTAAGATTGAAGAGTAGTGGTGGAAAAGGAAATTGACGGAGAGCTAGATGGTTTGTATTTGAAAGTTTATACTTCTTCCGTTATTCTGGATTCTGGTATTGCTGAACTTGCTAACCGCAGCCAATGGGAACTCGGTCAATATAACTCAGTTTGAAGTTAAAGTATACATCTGCAATTTTCCCCTTTGGAAAGTACAACAGAAAAACTTTCCACAGGATATAGCACGGAAACTAAACCCAGATTGAGTGCAAATTTCTTCGGCAACTCTCACTGAGTGCACATCTATTTGAAAAGTGTGAAAAGCTGAGAGCCATGACTCTAGGAACGAAAGAATTGTATGACTAGAAGAAAGTGACCACATACCCACTAATGGCTTTGTATCTCTTATGTTGATCTGTGTCGTACCAGTAAGGAATATCACAAATATCCAACGCTCCGTTGAACTTCCTATCCCGCCGTTCGGTGTAAGGGCTTATATACTGAGTTTCTTCTCTAATCATATCCCTCTATCAATGGACACACGGGCTAAGCATAGCACGAGGGAGGACAAGAGCGGGGCTAGGAAATCAGAGGTGAAAGAGCAGGAGTTAGAAGCGGAAAAAGAGAGATATATAATAATTAGCTATTTATAAAGAAAAATATCCGTTACAACTTCGCTTTCACTCCGAGTTGCTCTGCATGTATAATACCATCAATAACATCCATTGCCTCTACCAATCTCCTTTCCTGCATTTTTGGTGCTACGACTTGAACACAAAGTGTCGATTCGAGATATACTCTCCTATCGATTATTTTCTTATCCCCTATTCATTTTCATTAGCATGATACTCATTCTATTCTCCGGATCAAAAACTTACATAACTCTCTGTTGGCTTTATCCCAACTTCCTCCTACCTTCTCCGCCAACTCTCCCTCCAAATCCGTCTCCTGAAAATCCCGCACCGGTAATGTTCCACATGGATAATCCAATAACACAAAGCTACTCGTATAACCTGTAGCATTCCAGCTATCAATCTGTGGTGTAGGATGCGGAGCCACGGGACAAATAATAGCATCGATTGTACCCATCTTGATATCATTCCAGATCTTCAACATTTCCCTTTCTAATTCTGATTTCTTGGCATGGATATCCACAAGTTTCGGGAGAGTAATTGGGGATTTCCGTCTCAAACGCGTGGATAACCAGGGAATAAGCGGTTCGGATGTTTGCTCAAGAAGATCAAACATATAGTTTGCACCATCGATGCCGAAAAATTGATTGGCGAGCGATTGACATTTCTTAAATGCAGGCGCATCGATCTCAACTATTGAGTGGCCGGCAGCTCGAAGCTTTTCCAATGTTTCGTTGAGGATTTTGTTGATGGGAGGAAGTGGTGTCGTTACCCCATCGGTTCTAATAACACCAAATACTAATTTCTCTTTCTTTTGAACAGTACCCTGCTCCTTCCACATTCCATACACTACATCTGGATCTCGTTCCCATGGTTTCGAATCTGATACTATTTGTAGAAACAATTCACAGTCCCGCAAACTCCTCGCAATTGGTCCCGCACTAGCAGGTAGTCCAATTTTCGATGCTCCAGGTTGTTGGCCACCTTCTTGTCCCAGATAAGGTATCCTTTGAGCACTCGGCTTGATCCCATATAATCCATTACACATAGCAGGTATCCTAATACTGCCACCCACATCTGTACCTACTCCCAATACACTCCCTCTCATTGCAATTAGCGCCCCTTCACCTCCTGAACTGCCTCCAGCAGTAAGTCTCCTATCTCTCGGATTTAAGACTCGTCCAAATACATGATTATCTGAATCCAACGCCATCAAAGTTTGCGGTACATTCGTCTTACAATATAGTACCGCACCAGCTTCTAACAATATATCCACAAGTAAAGAGTTTTCTCCAGCGGGGTTTTCAGCCAAAGAAGCAATTCCAATACAAGCATCATATCCTTTTACTTTGAACGTATCTTTCAAACTCACAGGTACACCATGTAAAGGACCAATTACCTTCCCCGTTCTCGCAAACTCGGCATCAAGCCATTTTGCACGAGCGATAGCATCGGAGAAAAATATCTCGGTCAGACAGTTACATACTTGCTGAGCAATAGCCGCACGTTTACAAAACGCGATGGTTACTTCGAGAGCGGTGAGTTCATGGGAACGGAGCGCGGTGGAAAGAGATGTAGCGTCGTAGGACTCGGTAATGCTTAATTCGGAGGGGGTGAGGATGCCGCTGGTGCGGGGGATGGAGAGGACGTTGAAGACGGAGGGGGCTGGGGGAGAGGAGAGGAGCCAGGGGGTGGGGATGAGGGATTGTCTGGTCTTTTGTTTGCGGTGGGAGATTTGTTGCCAGGGGGAGGGGGGAGGGGAGGTCATTGTGGATGGTTTGGAGATGTTAAAGAACCTCTTGAGCTCCTTAGTTTGGATGGATACATCGAGATATGTATGGGGGATTTTAGTATGCGGGGGAGGGGAACATCAAGTGCTCGTGCCGAGGTTGTGCATAAATATTGCATAAACCTAGCATTTTATGCAAATATCCCTCACTCGATTTTATGTGTGATGTTGACATTCGAATCTCATTCGTACCAAACATACATCTTACATTTTCCAATGAGCCTACTAACACCACGAACCTGTCACCTCATGTCCCCCTTAAATATCTCGCTTGCTCAATATGGATTTACTATCATCGATTCGTTGGAGTCAATTAGCCACCGTACAATACTGAACATTTATTTGATCTCTGCTATCTTCCCTTCGAGTCAACCCTGATACGTCCATCCTCTATGACCCCTCAATTTCCCATCCTCGATTTGATGTCTTTGAATTGGTATTAAAGACGTAACGCACATGTTCAAGCATCCCGCTGAGTTATATCATGATTGAGAGATGCTGTTGAAGAAATATTCTCACAAGTTACACCGGCATTCATTGCCCTGAAATAGTATTGTGTTGATGATAGAAGAGAGGCACTTATCAAGCATCATCGTCGCCACAAAAACGCAGGGACAGCGCAAGTTAAGAAAGAGAATATTTGCGATAATTTACCAAAATCTGTAGAATGACGAATTTATTGGATCCATAATAAGTCGGCAATCTCCTGTCGAGAACTCCACTCGTAAGGTTCGCAAATGATGAATCACGCATGGTCGACGTTTCTTTCAAACGGCCACTAGGAACTTGCTTTTTGCGCATGAAGATATATATTAAAACGCATCGCGATGTGGAAATACCCCCGCGTTTTCGTGAGCAAAATTGCAAAGTCCAGGGATAGTTCCAAGGATGCCATGGGATGTGGATACCCATGGAAGCTGGGATCTTGGTGGAAAAAGAAAATCAAAGAAAATCGAAAGAAAGGCAGAATAAATTGAAATCTGGGTCTAGACTTGTGGTTGCTCGTTAGCTGTGGCTCGTGAGGCCAGCGGAAGTCTCGGAGAGTAGATGAAGGATGATGGATGTTATGGAAGTGAATATTATCATGGCTTTAGAGATATAGGTGGAGTTGTAATCACATGTGTGATACATGTGCTGTACGAAACAAAAATTTGCATGTTTATTTGTGTTTTGAAAGGTAAGGAAGGAGTTTAGAAGTGAATCACGTCTGAATCACGTCTTAATATCCAAACAAAGGAATACCATTTGATCACCGGTCACCATTTACTTGGATAATTGAGATTCTGCGCGACGGCATCTCTAGTGAGATACCGAGGTATATTACGAAGGATTCAACGAATAAAACCCGATATCACGATAGAAATTTGGAGTGGTGATAATTTACCCGAAAGGCGATACAGAGAGTTTACGCAGGTACTATAAGGTTAGTGTATTGAAAGGGAGAAAGAACTGGTACAAGATTTTTGGACACAGCATCACTTTTGTTGAGTCTTTGGGACTCTTGTGGGTTTGAGCTGGTAATCCCGGATTGGAAACGTTAGACTGCACCACGGCTCCGGAATCACGAGGGAAAACGACTGTTCAGGAGGGTCTTAGTTGGTTGAGTCGAGATCATTCGTATTTGCATTTACATACGGAAGAACAAAGAATCTCGACGAGCGTCGAAAATACCAATATAACATCGAGGGAACGCCCAAAACCCTGAGGATTTCACAACCAGAGAGAACGAGCGATAAAAATACACATTATCATATCCACTGAGCCTCCTCTTTAGAGAAAGATGTGCATCTACATCATAACACACCACGCTTGTCCACACACCTCTCTATTACTACAGGAGCGATGTCCGGGATCACTGAGTAGAAGAATGAGCACTGGGGGTGGGAGATACGAAAGCCCGCCGTGTAGGTTCGACAGGGAACGATTTGAGAGATGGAAGAGAGAAGCAGAGGGTCAGGAAAACGAAGAAACCCCGGCGACTCGGGAAAGGAGGGATGAAGGAAAGTGGAAAAAGAATGGAGGAGGGAGAAAGATGGAAAGTGAGTTCAGAGAGAGGTGGGCGGAGGGACTTTGTGTTAAGTGTAAGGCAGAGAAGGAAGGCAGTCGGGCGGTAAGTTCTATTCTTTTACTTTTGGTGATGGGTATGATTATCAAGATCTCAAAGTTGAGAAAGTTCTTTCCTTCTTCACAACGCAAGTTACCATTAGAAGCTGTCCAAAAAGCTGAAAAGATTATGATCCAAAAACAAACCCATACTGACACAACAAAGCTAGCAAGAAAATCTTCATTCGCGGAAATAGTAAAGAATCTCTTGAGTATCGATCGAGAATTGCAGGCGCAGAGACTAAGTGTGCACTCGGCAAGTGGAAGGGGCAAGTCAGCAATTCCTCCCGTTCCTATGATTGGAAAAAGGAGGGGAATGCGGTGATTCTGATTTGATACGATGCATGGATACCAAGGCTATGAAGGAAGGAAACAGCTATCATTGCTTCGTTCTATCTCGCAGTTCGGATGTCAACACTGATTGGATGTCGTTATTATCCAGATAGATGGAAAAAGAGCCGAGTGTACGATGTGAGAAAGTGGAAGGAAGTTAATGATTCAAAAATAATGACTTGCATGGGGAGGGTTTAATCATTTAGACTGGATGGTGAAAAATACCTTGATATTGGAGTTATTTGGCTTGGGAAACGAAAATTGATCGAAAGAATGATGATTCCCATAATAAGCAATATTTTGGCATTCAACATGTTCTCTATTTTATCTGTGTTAAATGTTTGAACATCAATTTCGTTGCCATACCAAAACCTTGACGTCTACTAAAAAAGGGCGAAATAGAGATTTCCATTCATAGGATCAGCATGTACTGTGCTTTCATTGGATTTTGGATAGAAAAATATAAAATGCATGATCATCCCTTCATTTCTTCCCTTTCATATCTCATTCAAATCTCAAAACTTCAAAGTTCACATTCGCATATCTTCACACTGATTTATACACTTGTACAATGTGCAAGTAACCACCGAATCCAGAATACCATCTAGCCTCAAAAGCTAGACAGCTCATAGAATGTGCAGATATAAACACGTCTGTTATAGTTTATGTCCTCATACGCACTCAAAATACACGCCCATATCCGTTTGTCCTCGCGCCAAAGAGAGACAGAAAATATGTTCATGGGAAACTGCAAGGTTTGGAGTCGGGACCGAAACCGGACTTGCACAGGTGATTGAAGAAAAAGGAAGTTTGTGAAGAGTGTGCGAGGGGTGCGAGAAAGAAGAGAGAGAGGGTGAGAGAACAGATGGTCGGTATGGGGATTAGACGAGGGAGGAGTTATGAGGGGAGGGGAAAGGTGTTGAGAATGTAGAGATAGAGGTGCAAAGACATGTGGATGACCCGAAAACGCTGGGTACAATATCTGAGGCCAAATACGACGGTAGAGAGCATCATCGCTCATCAAGCCCTGATATCCCAGCAGGGTGGTGTGATTTGGGTTTAGAAATGTAATTATTGCTTTCTTTGGTTTTGACATTCCTTGTCGGTGGACTTATAGTAGGTATGATTTTAATAAATTGATTGTCATTATATATTGAACGAAGGTATGCAATTCAAGAGTATCCTCCGACTTAAAGCATGCAGTTGCTCCATTATAGTCTACAATTTGAGTTGCTGATTGCGAGTGTAAGTGTGAATGTAAGTTCAAAGCAGAATCGTGATTTAAATTCAAATTTTCTACCAACCAATAAAGCTAGATAGCAAGAAAATGGTAAACGTCGCATAATATATCATGGTTCTAAATATCTACCCCATCCTTCCATAATTCATCTTAATTGTGATATGTGCATGCCCAAAAAATTGATAAAGATATCCTATCCATAATGCATGGGTATCATGTTGAATCCTCTGTATACTTGCTTCCCAAATCCGAAACTTACGGTGAATAGCAACGCCTGTAAATCCTCCCTTCATATCCATAAACTCCAATAACATGCATGCTGAGAAACCTCCGAGAGGAAGAAAGATTAAAGGAAACTGTCCATCTAGTCTAGTCTAATATCCGAATGACCAAGGAGTTCATCTACCCAGGATGGATATCTTCCAATACCAGTATCAGTCAAATCTAGTACCACTTCCATCCGCACTCCAGAAACAAAAGAAATACTCATCGTAAAGACTGTTTTCCCGTGAGTAACACACAGCGCGTTCACACTCACACCCGCAGTTGCACTCACTCCTTCATCTTCGCCTCCGTGATCTCTCGCCCCTCTCTACTCATCACCGGCTCGAAAATCCCACCACTCATCCTTACATCCTCCCAATTCTTATCCTCGCTCTCCCCCCTACAAACAAAATCGTAATCTTCGCCCACAACCTCTCTCTCCCGTCTTGCTCCCAGAACCTTTGAAAACTGTACTTGACTCAATGTCCGTCTAGCTCCCTGCCACTTCATCCTAACCCCCATTTCCTAAGCCCCTGAAAAAGACATGAATGGTAAGATAGTTCAGTTTTCCTTTTTTACTCTGCACTGCTAGTTTCGCGTTCCTAGTTCGGGCTTTTACTTTTTTCAGCGTCGTTTTAGCCTTGTTTCGCTTGGGCTTTCCTTTCTCTTTTCTCCGCTCTTTCGCGCTTTCGGAGCGCGGATGCGAGTTTGCGGATGCGAGTACCTTCTTGCGTTGAAGTTGAGCGGAGTGAGCTTTTTGGTCAGATGGGGAACAAATCGTTCTGGATAGGTGGGACAACGATTGGAAGAAGGAGCGATGTCGTAGACAATACCGCCGTAGATACCTTCCCGGACTAGATGTTCGGTTAAGGCGATGCTTTCTTCGCTGAGATTGCTGCGGGGACAGGGTAGGGGTGATGGTTTAACTGATGGCGCGGTATTTGGGAATGAAAATGCATCGAGAGATGGGCTAGGGTTCCGGAAGGGATCAGCATCGAAGGATGGTCTGGCCTTGTGAAGCAGGCTAGTAATGGGTGATGCGATGCTGGAGAGATCTGTCGAATACGTGTTGTGGCGGCTGTGGCTGTAGGTACCTTGAGTGGGTGTACTGCGCGCGGTACTCACTGTGTTCTTTGTATTGGTTGTATCGGAGCGAAAAAGACTAGTCGTTGGCGTACTTGGTGGAGTTGGGACGCTGAAAATCCTGGAAAGTGAGGATGTACATGAACACTATTGTGAGGAGAGAATTCAGAGGTGTAAAGGGAGTATAATGATGAAGTGATACCAGTTTTTTTTCGATTAGAGATAGGGAGAGGTCGGATGTATGTGGAATCAGACTTTTGGGTGGGAGTAGCCGGAACTGCGGCTGCAAGTTTAGGTGGTGAAGCGATTGGTGATGGAGATGAGAAGATTTCAGGGAGGTCAAAGGTATAAGATGGAACCTTTACTGGAGCCTCGGGGGTAGTTGAGGATTTGGTGGTTCTTGACTGTGGCATGACAGAAGTGATATTGACCTCTGGAGATATTGTAATGACTGTTGGCGGTACGAGAGAAGTAACATCAAGCGCGACCGAAAAAAGATCACTTTCAACAGAACCACGATCTTGTGTTGGGGGGGTATCAATACCAGGCGTGTTGTTTACGAATTGTTGACTGATATGACGATATGGACGATCCATTGGTGGTGGCGAGCGAACTAGACGAGATCTTGGTGATGGCGATCTTGTATCGTCTGGAGTGAAAAGTGGTCTTGTTGGACTTCCATCTTTGTTCTCGGTACAAGCTGGCAAGTAGACTGGACCAGCATTTCTGCGGCGGGAATTCCTACGGGATAAGGTTGGAGAATCTTCAAGTTTTCGAGACATATTCGCAGATTGATGTCTTGCAATTCTCTTAATTGGTATCGTATCAGCTCTAAATTTGCCAATATGTTGATCTGCTCCTGGAATCACAAGCCGCTCTGGCTCTGACGCCATTCGTAAATGTCCTTTAGCAGCATCTTCGGCACTTTCGTTTCCAAGCCTCACCTTGACTTCTCGGTACAAACCATTGTCTTGAACTTGTGGCTTCATCCTCAAAGGTCGGACTCCCATTATTCTGTCCGAATTTGTATATTTCATGATTTCTGTCTCGGGACGTTCCGCGATTCGACTCGCGACCATGCCTTTTTCTCCCCTCGCTACAGTAGCTGCTGTATACATGCCATCAATTGCTAGACCATCATTGAGTTTAGAATCCCGTTCTATTCTAGTCTTTGGTTTCTTGATATATCGATCGGTTCGAGCATCGTATGTGAGATTAGGAAATTGTGAGGTCGGTTGAACTCCATCAAGTACTTTGATTGCGGGGTTCGCTGAAGTGGGGTGAATAGAGATGGCGTGGAGTCCATCATCGTCATTTGATTCAATTCCATTGATATTAGCGATTGCTGACTTCAACGATTTACCATGAATTGAATCAAGTGATTCACTCGAACGGGTGTTGGTGGATACCGACATGATGGGTACTCAAGATCCTGAATCATCTTCGACATCGGCGATAAAGGAGGCATTGAATAATGTGCAACCCCAAGTGACGAAATATTGTTGATTGGAACCGCAGCAGGCATTAGTGAAGAGACCACCCTGAGCTGTTCATCTTTCCAATGACTAAAACCGTGTACAGGAGACATTTTCATTGGCAAGCAAGGTTGGCCGTTTCTCGTTCTTTCTTCGATAGATTCGGTGGACTCGCTGGACTCGTCAATCGGGGTCAATGGTTGAATGTCATATTTAGCAGGCTTTCTGTAAGATTTGGGCCGAACCACCACTTGACAAGTAGGAGGTGCAACTTCGGTGGATTTCTCAAATGTTTCTGGATCCATGAATTCCACGGTGAAGGCATAGAATGTTTGACATCCCAGATAAAAACTTCCTCGTGCTCGAAAGATACAGAATAGAGACGATCGAAGGCAGGAAACTGTTCTTCCGGGCATACATCATGATGTTTGAGTATGTTGCAGAAGAAGGCCTCAACATTGGTGTAGAGGGGATTGGAGATTGGCCGTACCCTCTTCTTGGGTCGAGTTTTTGGTATCAACTCCGATTTTCCCCATTGAAATTGACTATTGGGAGATCTTTTCACTAAAAGTGAGAATAAAACTAGTAGATCTCACAAGTCAAATGGCTGGTTTGGTGGTCGCTTGTCAGTCTCTTGTTGTTCTGCGATCCAAGAAGATTAGACTCTTGACGTTTCAATGAAGTGATAGAAAACTTACAAAGTAGCCAGAGTAGTTCAAGTTGTGCGGCCCATGGCGTGGATTTTGGCATAGAAATGGAAAGAAGCTATTTGAGACACGAAAGAGAGGCCTTCTTCCTCTCTTTCCTTGATATTCCTGCCGTCGAAAAAAAAAACGGATGATGCAAATCGGCACCTGACCATCTTGATTGTGAATCACATCATATAAGAAATTCACCATATTCAATGCACCCACTTTTCACGATAAGACGAAGGACGAAACCACAGCTAGAGTATAGTGAGTAAAACTTAAACGGCAACGATGTTTGTAAAAAGGTCAACGCTGAGTCGCCCACAGAAACAATGGTGTATCGAGTCGAAGAAGATCACCGATTAGCAAGGGGAAGCGAGGTGATATATATGTATATACGTAATGTTCATTCAATTCTTTTTTTTTTCAACCCCAGCGCCAATTATCTCCTTTTTATGCATATTAGATTCCGAAACAAAGTTAAATATAGATGCGCACCCGAGAGATGATTGCTGGCACCAGTATACCTCCAACGTTCCCGATGAAATCCAGACTTGAAAATGCCGACACTCAACTATTGTTTACTCCTTCCTTCAGATCAATGCCTCATGCTTATTGACACATGCGTCGACCTTGCTTAAGAGCACAGACTTTCTCTCATCATCGCACCAACTCCCTTCGATTGCGCTGGTTGCAATGTATTTCCACTCCTTTAAACTCAAGTTGAATGCTTCTTGAACAGCAACATAGTTATCCAAGATATAACCACCAAAGTAAGCTGGGTCGTCACTGTTGATGCTGAATTTAATTCCTGCATCCAAAAACTTTCGAATTGGCAATTGTCCAACATTCTCAACACACCTCAAGCGAACATTGCTTAGTGGGCAGACTGTCAACATTGTTCCCTGCTCTGCCACCCGCTTCAATAAACTTTCATCTTCAGCCAATCTAATTCCATGATCAATTCTCTCAACTTTGCAGATGTCTAGTGCTCTGGAAATGTAAGACGTGTCACCTTCCTCACCAGCGTGAGAGGTGCGATGAATTCCTTTGCTTTCTGCGGATTCATAAATTTCTCTGAAGATTTCTGGTGGGAATCCAACCTCACTGCTATCAAGACCGATAGCAGCTACGGTTCCATTTGAAAAGTGACCAAGGGAAGCTGCTTCCTGATATGTAGTGTTTGCATTCTCAGCAGACAAGTGTCGCAAGAAGCATAGAATGAGTTTTGAGGTGATACCGAAATCCTTCTCAGCGCGCTTCAATCCAGCAGTAAGACCCTCAACAACAGTTTTGTATGCAATTCCACGTTCAGTGTGTGCTTGTGGATCGAAGAAAATTTCGGCATGGTGAACTCCATCGCGATTGGCTTTTGTTAGGTATTCATAGGCCAAACTTTCGTAATCCGCAGCATTTATCAAAACTGACATGCCAATGTAATAATAATGGAGGAAATCGTTGAGGGAAGTAAAGCGTTCATAGCGAGACTCGAGTTCTTCGGGAGATTTGAAAGAGGCATCAGTCGCAGAGTCTGGAAGGGCGATATTGTTTGTTTTGGCAAGCTCGAATAAGAGCGCTGGAGAAAGAGACCCCTCGATATGAATGTGATGCTCACATTTTGGGAGCTCCTTCAGGAATTGCTTCATGTTTTCACCGCACATCTTGAATTATTGTATATTGAAAGGGTTTGGATGAGGAAGAGATGGTAATTTAAGTCGAATTATCGAGATCGCAAAGTGTATTCTGTGCTCTGATCGATTCTATTGGGGCAACAATCTGGTTATCGAGAGATACTTCTATCAAAGATCGATTGCTCTAAGAAAGAATAAAGATCCAGCAATGACTTGTATGAGTGATCAATTATATCGTAAATATTGAGTGAATATCAACCTTGATAGAGAGGGCTACGCTTTACAAAAGGACAACCCACCAAATAGCACAGATAGCAAAAATGAAATACCTCGGGCCTACGGCCATTAATCTCTGATAGATATCAAACTACAGCACAATATTACTTTACCAATCGCCACCTTTGTGCCCTTTTTTTCGTCTTCTAGGGCAATGGTGTCAGGGAATTGACAATGCAAAGGTGTGGTCTAATCACGAAGATTGAAGATGTATGGTAATAGTTATTGAATTTTTTTGAGAAAAGGTGGTAATGACCGAAAAATGGCAGAAACTTTTCATCCTATTTTTGCTGGCGGTCAAGGTAAAAAGATCAAAAGACCCGGCATTCTTGATGTTCTAGCCAATCCTTTCAAGGAAGATAGAGGTTGATTGAATTTCATAGGCTATTATGCTCTGTGGTGGAGTCTTAAGATGCAATAGCTTCGCAAGGACTACGCAAGAGAGCCAATCGCTATACGGCGGAATCCGAGAAATCCCAGTACCTTACACTTAAATTCCCATCTATGATCTAACGAAGCACAATTTATCACTCTCCCATCTTTTACTTCCGAGTTGCTTCATCTGTACAAGTAACATAATCAATGGCCCAACTTCTGGGGAGTCGATGGTCGCCGGTAGGGTAGGTTTACATACCACATTCTACAAATGGAAATACACAAGGGGGGTCATTGTCCGACTACTGAGGCTGAGGCATTGTCCTGAGCAATTGCCCGACCATTGGTTGCATTATCCGAATCTTTGAACTGACTACTGACATGGGAGTCGACCCAGGAATGGAGATAACTTATTCATTGAGGCTCCACAATCCTCCTCTCCCCCTTGTGCTACTGTCACCTCGTCGGGTCTTCAGTGTTGAATTTGTACGAACGGCATTTCCCATTTTCTCCTTGGTATTTACCCTAGTCATCAACTGTCAATCTGTCACTCAACGTTACCCCGAAGTTGTTTGTGGGCTCATTTTATATACGAAGGTTTTGTGATGTAGATACCGACGTCGCCATTGAACATGGTGGAGCGTTACAGAGTGTTTCATTATACTCCTGGAGCAGCGGATACTTACTTGATCTTGTCTGACATCGGGGAAAGACTTCTGGTAGCCTTGGAGATATTTCTTTACATGATCTCTTGGTCCTGAGCAGACGCCCTAACCTCCTTGCACCCCTTGCACGTAAAGTTCCGATCCTTGGGTATATCGCTAGTTTTTCAACGTGGTTAATATGAAGACTGGAGAGTAATATAGACTTTTCGGGTCAATCGCCGAACTGTTCTTGGAGTAATGTTTGCGAATATTCTGTGATCGTTACAGGGGAATCAATTTGCTGTCTATTCGAGGTTCCAGTTACACCTATTTTACGTTTTCTTACCGCTTGCCGTCGCAAACTCACAGCAAGCATTTATGGTGGGCATCATAGAGGTGTGCAACTATTGCGGAACTCGGAGAATTTCCCGGATTCAAGCTTGTATCCCACAATAGAGTACACATATAAAACATTCTGAACACGCAACGTTGAATGCACGCACATACCCTTTCAGCCTCTATTCTAATTGTCGATTTAAGGATTCTTTTTTGAGATAGTTTTCTTCCAACATGACTGTGAAATGGTGGATCAGTGAGGATGCATCTATCCCTCCATTGAGGAGAATTCGGAGAACAATCCATGTTATCTACTACCCTAATAAATATCCTAAAGCGCCCCAGTGCAAGTGTTCAACACAGAGAGAAGCAAAGATCTGCAACTAACAATGGACCGGATTTCCGTTCCTGGCGGTTGGTTCCATGATAGAGCATGTGATTGCCAAATTAGGAGGCATACGATATATCATGGATTCCTATCATACGTTTCAGATTTCGGCATACCTACTAACATTCAAAATGGGTCTTCTCCAAGCCCGACTAACACATCCTAGTTGGGCCAGAGCTTCTCATCTCTCGGGCATATTTCAAAATCATGATGCTTAGGCGAATGGCGGTTTATCCCTTGTTTTTATAGTAGTATTGCAATTAGGGATGGGCGAATTATATAATTTGGGGATCGATTATATAATTTCATATTATCATGCTTTTTGAGGCATATAAAATATTATGCTAAGTTTATGTATGTGTTTTTTGGGCCAATAAAATTATCAGGATGAATGAAAATGAATCGTTTTGAAAAAAGTTTTTGATAAATTCTAATTTTCAATTTAGTATATAATTAGACCCAAAAGTTAGGTGCTAATCATGTAATTTCTATACTAACTATTTTCTTTTCAAAATAGCTTTAAAATAGTCTTTTATAGGATTTTTATAGGGTTTTATAGAATTTTATGATTAGTTATATATATAATGCGATTTGATTAATATTATATATTATATTGAAGTGACGAATATGCGATATTATATATCATCAAATCGCCCAACCCTAATTGCAATTTTCTACCTTGATACCGATCAGTATCAACCTTACACCATGGGAAGACGATCAGTTCTTGATACCCAGTAACCGGATAATGGAAAAAAAATCGGATTCACATCCATGCTGAATATCATAATGTTCTCATTTACTTTTTTTCGGCAAACTCTACCGGCATTCCAGAGGAGTGGGTAGCAGGTAAAGTGATGTTCGGCGATAAGATACCAGCTGTCGGTGTTTTTGATCTCTGATTGAATTCTTTCATATAATGAAATCTAGACAGAACCTGCAGCTTCAGGAAGGATTCCGAAGGAAGTCCAAGGGACACATCGTCAATGAATCGTGAGATCAATTCCGTGATATCAATTTAAAACAAAGTCAGAGTGATCAACGAAGCCGCCTTCTCAATCATAGAACAATACGAGTCTCGACCTCACAGTGTGAACGCTATACTCGAATGACCACCAACCCTAAGTTCTAACAAATAAAGCGCCGGGAATGCCCCTAGATTCGGATGGTCCCCCGATGTTAGACAGCACCACAGAGCACCCTTTGTCGTCATCTTCAACAAATCAACCTGGCAATTTCGACAATAACCCGATCTCAACCAAACGAACTCGGAGTGGGCGAAATGAGATAGTGCAGCGATCTACTTTGCAATTTTGAATGTCTTTGATTCTCTGATTCCTCAAAGGTTCAATCCCTTCAAAACGATACTCAAGCACCGTATGATTCCAGAATTCCAAGCCTGGAGCTTCGAATGTCAATTCTGTCGGTATCGACAAAATTAGCCAATGTCTAAAACATGGTAATTTTGCACAAAACTTTGCAGTATCTGAAGAATGCCGTGTAAATTCTCATCGCAATTATTTACGCTCAAGCATAATCATCCTTCATCTCAAATCGGTTACTGACTTGCTGAAATTGGTCAGTTAGACTCGGACACTAGATGAGCACGGTAGTTCGGTTTCCGAAGTGTGCATAACTAATTTAGTAATGTTTGACCGCGATGCCATGGCAGCACAAACTCTATTCTTGAGACATGGAATCCATGCTGCCGGAGTAACGTCAAATGCTATCCAACGTCACCTAGGGTACTTCCCCATAATCCAAATACATGGGAACAGTGACAGTCTTGTCTACAACGAATTTCCTTGTCAATTACCATCTAATTGAAGCTCAAGAGTCAACCCAAAACGAGTATTCACACGTTCCTTACGCAGTCATGAGTGTCATGAGTCAAGGTAATCTGGTTCTCAGATCGAGACTCACAGCCGGGACTTGGGAGACATCATATATCTCATACCGATACATTGGGAGGCTTGTCCTAACAAAAGTTTATCGGGTAAATACACGACCCGTGACGCCCATCTAAACCTTCTTGATTGACAGTCACGGCCAAGGAGGCAGTGCATTTTTCTGTTAGGTGGATATCTTGGATCTCGCTAGAATCTCGAAGCAGTCCAGGTAGGCCCTGCAAATGAAGCCATCCAAACAAGCATAGTAGCACACTTCAATCTACACTTTTACCTCTGGGCGAGGCTTTTGCATCTTCATTCCAATGTCTCCCTATTATACCCATCGCAGGTCATATTGTTTCGGTATCCGGTAGCAGACTACGCCGAGGCAACTGCAATTGTCAAGTAAAAGAATTCAGGCTTCATGGCTTAGGAAACCCCGCTAATTCCTGTAAAGCCCAATTTGACTAGCAGTGAGATGGACTCCTGCAGCGGTCAGATGAGCAAGTAATTAAGATCCGGTATAATCAGTGCTGCAAATTGAAATGCCTCAATGCTTTTGAGCCTGTAGGCCTATCAGAAGCGGTCGGACATGGTCTTCAACAATCTAGAGCTAGCAGTACAATAAATGACATCGATACAATCAAGATAGATATCAATATCTATGTCATACTAGATAAGATGATCTTGCTTTCCACGTACTGTTGGTATTTCGAAGGGACTCCATTGAAACTAAAGATGCAGATACTGACAAACCTCAATCATCAAAATAAGATAATGATCCCACTTCTAGCTTTTTGGAAAGAAAAAGAGTAGATAGTTGATCAATGGATCTGTGGCGCGTATGTGTCGCCATCAACACAGATCGAAAACGAACAGATATACCGCCCACTTAAACCGGCATATTTGTCGACTATCCCCTCATTTCAACATTTATTGTCCCCACAATAATCCGCAGGTACCTCGGGATGCCATGGCTCAACATCTAGAGTCTTGGCATGCTTCCTAAACCCCTACAATGCTAACGGAACCACTCCTCTGAATATGCTTTCTTTCCGGAAAGATACATCCCCCCTCCTTTTTTTTTTAACGATGGACTACCTGGAGTCAGTGGTAAAAGAG